AAACAAATTTGCGAAATGAAAATAAACATCCGTCATGTATAGTAAAAATTATTTGATAAATAGATTTTGGGTTGTCATATAACGGCTTTTAAGAATAAATTTAAAACAGGGGAAATATGTAGGAAGCTAGGCAAATAGTTCATAGTAAATCTTTATTAAGTGTTTAAAAGAAAAAGCAAACACTTACCAGATGGAAGTTAGCGTAGAACATTCTTTTTTTTTAACTAAACTGTATGGCAATTAATTGCTCCATAAATGCTCCAGCAGAATCCGAAATTGCTCCACCTCTATTGTTATTAGTTATTTTATAATTAATTTAAAAAAAAATTAAGTATCAAAAATTTAATTTTGCTGTAAAGTATAAAATATCTACTTCTTTAACTTAAACTGTATGCCAATTAATTGCTCCTTAAATGCTCCAGCGGAATTTGAAATTGCTCCACCTCTATTGTAATTAGTTAATTTATAATTAATTTAAAAAAAAAATTAAGTATCGACAATTCAATTTTGCTATAAAACATAAAATATCTACGTTTTAAAATTAAACTGTATGCCAATTAGTTTCTCCTTTAATGTTCTAGCAGAATCCGAATTTGCTCCACCTCTATTGCTATTAGTTAATTTATAAATAATTTTTAAAAAATTTAAGTATCGAAAATTTAATTTTGCTATAAAACAGAAAATATATAGTTTTTAAAAATAAACTGTATGCCAATTATTTGCTCTTTAAATGCTCCAGCTGAGTCCGAAATTGCTATACCTCTATTGCTATTAGTTAATTTATAATTAATTTTTAAAAAAATAACCAGAAGGAAGTTAGCGTAGAACATTATTTTTTTAAATTAAATTGTATACCAATTAATTGCTACTTAAATGCTCCAGCAGAATCCGAAATTGCTCCAACTCTATTGTTATTAGTTAATTTATAATTAATTTTTAAAAAAATAACCAGAAGGAAGTTAGCGTAGAACATTATTTTTTAAATTAAATTGTATACCAATTAATTGCTCCTTAAATGCTCCAGCAGAATCCGAAATTGCTCCACCTCTATTGCTATTAGTTAATTTATAATTAATTTTGAGATAGTGATCCCATTTGAGTAATAGCGCCATCATAAATAGAATATAGTAACATTCTATGGTTAAAGTCATTTTATCGAACAAAAATTTATTGATTCACGTGGAATAGATACTAAATGGCATAAACCCAAAAAAATAATATTAACCGGTGAGTTTTGAAATTATGTATTCTTATGAATGAATTGGACAAACATGTTAATAGTTTTTTTTGTGTTTAAGTCATCTAGCGTCTTTTTTGCGTACCAACTTATATAATTGCTCCCTATTAATTAATTTATAATTGTTATTTTTTTGTTTAAAGAATTGCTCTACTACTACTTTTACTGCTATCTTTAAACGAGCAATTCTTGTAAACATATATATATATATATATATATATATATATATATATATATATATATATATATATATATATATATAATCGGAATCTCGAAAACGGCTTCAACGATTTTCATGAAACTTAGTATGCAGGGGTTTCGGGGTCGATAATCTGGCTAGGATTCAACTTTAGAAATTGTCGTTTTATCAGTGTTTTTAGGCAATGAAAAACTGCTACAATATCATTAGAATATAAAGGTAAATTTCGGCACGATCTACATGATTATAATAGTTAGGGTGGGAAATCAGGCGGTCCCCGAACCAAATACCCCGGTTTGTGTCTAGGTATCAGCAGCCCGATTGTTTTTTCCTTGTTTTTTCAAGTTCCTTCTTTTGTGCGAAAAACTATTATTGGGAGCCTCTTATCAACGCATCTAATTTGTACCTAAGTATATTTAAAAAAAAACACGAAAAAAACGACCGAGCTTACAGCACTAGTAAAGAAATTGACATTGTGCAAATATTTTTATTCTATTGGCGATGTTTCGGTACAAAGATAAGTCAAATCAGTAACTCTTTATCGACAATCAACTTAAACATAAACTGAAAAATATAGCTCTTCCTGACATCTTTTGGCGACTAATAATACTATTATTTTTTTAATTGAAATATAATTTCCAAAAACACGATTTCCAAAAAAATATACCGAGTGAAGCTGCAGCAGGTACTTATTAAAAAAATATATTTTTGCAATATTTATAATAATTAATATAAAAACAATGTGTGTCTTGAACTTTTGCATTACAGGGAAATATTTCAATAATTCATCAATGACTTGAATAGCATAGATTGTGTACTTGTCCCATCCATTCATTACAATCCACGATTTCAAAACTTACCAATTATAATTTTTTTGGGTTTATGCCATCTAGCATCTTCTTTACGTACCACCTTGAGAGTCAATCAATTTTTGTTCGATAAAATGACTTTACCTAAAGAATGTAGTAGATGGCGCTATTACTTGGGTTACGCTTCGTGTGAACTGCACACATGTTTTTTTTATTTATGCATTAATCAATAATGTGTCTAATGCGATTACTCTTGCTAAAATAAATACGTTTAACTTGATAACTTCGTATTGTTTACCCCCATTCCAGTAAAAAGTTTTACTTCAAAAACTGCTAATTTTTTTACGTGGTAGAGCCATGCTGCAGCTATAAGTTGTAGCACAAATGGGTTGGCTCGACTGGGGAAGGACAACGCTCTCACAGAATACCAGCGTAAAATAGCAGCTTAATGCTGCTGTGTTTCGTATGGTGAGCGTAGAGAACCAGAGACCCTTTTTACTGGAAAAGAGGCATTCCATCTTAGTCCTCATGAGTGACAAAGCATCTGAATTTTGATTCTTCATTGAGGATAAATGTAGATGTCTATGGGCCACAGCAACCACTTACCATCAGGTGGACTGTGTGCTCGTTTGTCACTCGATCCTATTAAAAAGAAAAAAAATTGTGCTCTATGACGTCGTCGGTGATCGTTGAATTCACTAAAAGCTATGTTCACAAGAATCCTTAGTAGCTCAGTACGACAATTTCATGTTCGCCTTAATGTTTATACCTACTTTAATTTTAAGGTTATGACATCAAAAACATTACTTGTAAAATAAAACCAAGTCTCGCAACTCAGTTCTTCTACTGTAAAATTTGTGAGATCCATTTAATACCAAGTCGGTTAATTTATTCAGTCTCCACTTAAGGGTCCTTCTGTCTTAAGTTATTACGTAATTAGCTAACCTAACAACATCAATACTAAAAATCTTTTATATTTTAAATAAATAGATACTTGGCCATCGCATGAAAACACAATGTATCTCTCAAGTAATACATATTATATTAAATTAGATTGTTTAGTGTGATTGCAAAGTCAATTTATTTATTTAAAACATTTTATATATCAATATTAAAAGATTTTTAATATTGATATGGTCACTATAAAATGTTGTTATACCCGAGTCTCGCAACTCAGTTCTTCTACCGTAGTAGAAGAACTGAGTTGCGAGACTCTGGTTTTTTTACAAGTTATGTTTTTGATGGCATCTCATTTCATTTTTGTAGATAGTTATATCTAAGTACCTATCTACACCTATTATTCCATTATATTATACATATATAGGTACACTGATTCATTCATCCTATATATTTATATGGGATTACAAAGTTATTTATGCAGTTGGTGTATCTCGAAAACTGGACCGAAATTGGACGTAGTTAAGCAGAAAGGACTCAATCCACACAGTGGTCAAAATTAAGTTAAGTATGCCATCGTACTCCTGAGGGTCGAAACTATCATGTAGTGAAACCCCTATTTTTAAAATGTACACGGAAGCTGATTTTTTTCGCTACCCCGACTCAACCCACAGTATGAAGAGCACATTAAATGTATTCGCTGAATGAATTCAATCCGCTTGAATTGTTTCTAACTAATGCATTTCTATGAGTATGTTCTTAAAGTCGAAAAACCAGGATGGACTCAAACGGTTTGGATCCTTTCTGAGAAATAGTTTTGATCGGAAATATCATTTTACCAAATAACTGAAATGACTCAAACAGGTTGGGTCGTTTTTGCGTTGTAGGATTACTGAGACAAATAATTATTTGTTTGTTTATCAAAAACGACTCAAAACACTTGGTATGTTTCAGAGAAACGGCTTTAGTCGAACAGTTCATATTACCAAATAACCTTAAACGACTCAGGAAGGCTGAGTCGTTTGTAAGCAATAGATTTACTGACTGATACACATACTTGTAGTGCAACTGAAACAACTTGAAATATTTGGCTTATATCTGTCTAATGAATATTAGTAATATTGAATCAATTTTTATTTTAGTTGGTACGACTCAAACTATGTATCTTCTTTCTGTGAATCAGCCCAAGTATTTTATGGAGTTAGAAAAGAATTTATATGAACTAAATTTATATGTTTTCCATTGTATATAAAAGACATGGATGTAATAAAACTATTACTAATTATTAATTTCCAGATAATTTCTAAGGTGGCAACTTTTTGTCGGTAAATTACTCTCAAAAAGTGGCAACTCTGCCACATTCTCGCACACTGGCTGGTGAAACACGTGTTTTGTTTTATTTCGGTAAAGTGTATGTTAAAAAAAATTGAATTCAAGATGAGACGAATTGATCGAATTTTGTTTAGTGCCTTAAGACGTGAGGTTTACGAAAAGCCTGAGTTATCAGATGGTAAGTAATATTTTTTGTCCAGGTTCATTTCTAACCTTAAAATATATATTTTTTGTAAACGAATAAGTAAATAACGACGAGAAAGATACTGTACATATTCCTTATCACTATTTTGTCGCAATCATAACCTTAGTCTGGATCTAAACGATCTGATGTAGCTAAACTATTACAATGAACAGGGAGCGATTTGGAAGAGATTTCTGTGGCGAAGACGCCGGTGCTGGCGCCTGCAAAAGATGACGTAGTTCCATCAGGTGAATACAATACCTATTTATTACATAAGTAATACAATATTTTTAAGAAATGTTAACGCGTGACATAAAACATTTTTTCCAGCTCTAAATCGACATGATGATCAATCGACATACTAAGCAGATATTACCTTCCTATCTATGTACTACGTCAACATTATTTACAATCTACTTGCGTAAGAATTTTATTATCAGTGACATATAATTGTATTGTTCGTTGCACGTCTTAATGAGCTTAATGCAGCTTTTTGGTTTGCGGTGGTCAAGATAACATTTGACTCTTTTTTAATACTTATTATTTTCCGATTAATAAAGCATGGTCCAGCAGAAAAGGGCACTGAGTTCAATGTGGTATTTTGCTGTGCTAAATGCTTTGGTCAAGAGTTTTGGTTTTGTTATATTTTATCCCTCATCTCTAATGTCTGATTATAATTACTAACCTTTGTTACATATGACTAACCCCACCTAAGTTATGTTTAACTAGCATCCGTTATGCTATTTACTGATTTTGTACCTCTACTATGACAACTCATAATTTACAGATGGAAATATACCAGAGGCTCCTTTAGGATTTGAAGCAGATGCGCCCATGAACATCAACTGCGAAGGTACTTATTTCCTTAAAAGAAATAAAAAAATAAATTAGATATCTAGGCGAATGGCGGAAGTGATTAATTGGTTCTCTTTTTCTTCGTTATATTTCAGATAACGGATTTCAAGATACTAGTAATCTTGTGTGCTCTCCAGCGCCTCTGGCTGTAATTACACATAATGCAATCATGGGATCAGGTACATCACATTCAACACTACATAGCATAATATGGTAATTGTTGCTATTTATGTAAAAGTGAACTTAAATCTTAACCTAGGTAGTAAACCAGATGTGGAGTCTCCAGCTGCTCCTGTGTACTCTCCACTGACTCCACTTGTGACTGCGAGAAAAGCCAGATCGGAAACAAGTAAGTCAGAAAACTGATTCCTATTTTATACTATTATTTACCCAAACTTCTATGAAAATAAGTAGGCTAAGATATTAATGACTGCCATAACTCTGAGGCGCTATTCTTCTTGTTCTTACCAGGTGTTGAATCACCAGCTGCTCCTGCATTTTCTCCATTAACTCCTCTTGCTACACGAAAAGAACTTCAAAACAAAGGTAAAAAAGTTTAGGATAAATTATAGATAAAATAAGAATGCGAATACTTAGTAATAAAAATGACTATATTTGTATTTTCAGGAACCGAAGACAATTTTTCACCACTACCTCCGATGTCACCAAATGCATTAGAGATGCTTGAAACCCTTTGCAGAGATTTTTCTACAGTTGAACATGAGTATATTGATATGTCAAAAAGACGGCACCGTAATTGTGTTAGTTATAATGATCCTAAACAAGATGGAGACTATGACGACGATACAGATTCAGATTATGTACCAGACAGTGGAGAGGAAACTGATGTTTCGCATTCATCTGTAAAACAAAATAAACGGAAGAGCTTTCAAGTTCTCGAGAGCGACAGTTCAGACAATGAAACCATACAGAGGGGTTTGATTTCTTCTCATATTGCTATAGTGCACGATAATCAAACTAGAACTAACAGAACTACACAAATGCTACACAATGAAAGCCCGCTCATTGTTTCAAATGGCACAACGGTAGATGAACTAATTTCAGTGTATCAAGGCTCAGATACTGAAGCAGTTCATCCTAAAGCGGAAATTGTTCGTCCAGTTACTGAAAACAATGACGCAACGCAAACTTTGGGCCGCCCCAAATGTGGACGCAAAAGAAGACACCCAGAATATTGTCTCTCTGAGAAGAAGAATAGGAAATATATGAATTTACCATATCATGTCAAAGACAAACTAGTAAGACCGAAAGTATTCCGTGATTATTCATGTACCTGCAAGCAACGCTGTTTCTTACTTGTTCCAAAAGAAACACGAAAACAAGAGTTTTATAAGTTTGTAACATTGGGGTCGTATGAAGCTCAGCTGTTATACATTTTAAATTATGTTAAAGAATCTGAAAAAGCTCGATCATATACTTCAACAAAAACTAAAACCGGTAAGAAAAAACCTAGACAATACAGAAGACATTATTATATTTGCGAGAATGTGGTATGTAAGGAAATGTTTTTGAAAAACTTTCAAATCTCTTCTAAAAGAGTTGATATGTGTTTGTCCAAAAAGCGATCAGAGGAAACTTATAAAGACAAGAGGGGTCAAAAACAAGGTGGTTGGAACAAGACCCCTAAAGAAGATATAGATTTCGTGAGAAGTGTCATTAATCGCCTCCCAAAATACGAATCTCACTACAGAAGAGAACGGAACAGTGGCACGCAATATTTAAAAATAGGTATGACTATACAAAAAATTTACGACATCTATCTTGACGAGTTCAAAAATGTGTACGGCAGCGAGAAGAAATACGTCTCTTTTGCTATTCTGAAGCGCGTATTTTATACGTATTTCAATCTCCGTTGTAAATCTTTGAAGAAGGATACGTGCAAGAAATGCGATTCATTAGCCCTTCAGATAAAGAAGTGTCATGTAGCAGAAGAAAAAGAATTATTGATCCAGGAAAGAGATATTCATCAAATGAGAGCGGAGGATCTTCGTAATCAAATGTCTCAAGACTTGGCGCGTGCTAAAGCAGATCCCAAATTTGAATGTGTTACCTACGATCTCGAAAAAACCCTACCTTTGCCCCGTATACCTACGAACATAGTATTTTATAAACGTCAGTTATGGGTTTATAATGCTGGGATACACGTTGGTTCTAACGATCAAGGACGATGCAATGTCTGGGTTGAAGGGGAAGCCGGAAGAGGAGCCCAAGAAGTTGGCTCGTGCCTTATTAATTTTATTAAAAATCATTTGAGGGATGGCGTAGAGAATCTAGTCCTTTGGAGCGATTGCTGTGGGGGACAAAATAGAAACATTAAAATAGTCCTAATGCTAAAAACTATACTTAAAAGTCACCCAAATCTTAAAACGATAACTTTAAAATATTTAGAGACCGGCCATTCCTTTTTGCCAAATGACACTGATTTCAGCAAGATTGAATGTGAGCTTAAACATCACGAGCGGGTTTACACCGCAGAAGAATATATAAATATCATGAAGATCTCTAAAAAGAAAAAACCTCTTCACGTTACTAGAATGAAAATACAAGATTTTTTAAGTACAAAACAAATAGAAAAAAAAATAGTTAACCGCAAAATATGTACAAATAAAGATAAAATAAATTGGCTGAAAACAAAACAAATTTTATTGAACAAAGAAGATCAATACATAATTACGATGACTTCAGAGAGTGGAGATATTCAAAAGCTGGATTTGTCGAAAAGAAGCAAAGGTAATTTAATTCAATTTTCTGAAGAAGATTTTGAAGTCCTTTGGCCCCAAGGAAAACCCATACCTGGAGCAAAGCTCGATGATCTGAGATCCATGTTTAGTTTAATACCTGAAGACTGTCACGCATTTTACAGTAACCTTAAGGGAAACAGCAATATCAGAGAGGACGTTGATGGATACGGGCCAACTCTTGATTTTGACTTGGAGGAGAATGAGACAAATTGATAAAATTTTAATGTTTTTATTTGTGCGCTGTTTTTGCTATGTTTTTAATTTTATAATGGTGTTTCACGTGATTTTGCTAGCCTTATATTCAAGGATAATAAATATATAACGTTTTGATAATTTTACTCATTTTGTTTTTTTTAATAACTTATTTCCTAGTCGATGGGTAGTTTTGAGTCCATTCTGCGAAACTAAAAAAAAATACCTGTCTTTACAAACTTAAGTTTAATGGTAAGGACTCAACCCACATTTCACTTAATATTTCGAAATTTATTGCAAAATATGTCATTATTTTGATAAATTGATAAAAATATTGACTATCTTTTTAATTCAGGGTCAAAAAATTAAAAATATAACTTTTTCTTAGACGAAAAATAACAACTGAAACTTCAAACGCCTATAACTCAAAAGTGACTTTGTGTGGATTGAGTCCTTTCTGCTTAACTACGTCCAATTGCAAAATATTTTAGTTTTTCCTTTGTTCCGTTTTAGTTTTTCCTTTTTAGTTTTATTTCCGTTTTATTTTTAATTTAATTTTTTCTTTGTTCCGTTTTAGGTTTTCCTTTGTTCCTAATCCATTCCTAAGAATTTATAATTTCAAAACTCACCCATCAATATAATTTTTTTGGGTTTATGCCATTTAGCATCTATTATACGTACCAATTTTGAGAGTCAATCAATTTTTATTCGATAAAATGACTTTTACTATAGAATGTTACTACATTCTATTGATGATGGCGCTATTACTCAAATGGGATCACTCTTTCTGAAAATCATTTATAAATTAACTAATAGCAATAGAGGTGGAGCAAATTCGGATTCTGCTGGAGCATTTAAGGAGCAAATAATTGGCATACAGTTTAATTTTAAAACGTAGATATTTTATGTTTTATAGCAAAATTGATTTGACGATACTTAAATTTTTTTAAATTAATTATAAATTAACTAATTACAATAGAGGTGGAGCAAATTCGGATTCTGCTGGAGCATTTAAGGAGCAATTAATTGGCATACAGTTTAATTTAAAAAAGTAGATATTTTATACTTTATAGCAAAATTAAATTTTTGATACTTAATTTTTTTTTAAATTAATTATAAAATACCTAATAACAATAGAGGTGGAGCAATTTCGGATTCTGCTGGAGCATTTAAGGAGCAATTAATTGGTACACAATTTAATTAAAAAAAAATAATGTTCTACGCTAACTTCCTTCTGGTTATTTTTTTAAAAATTAATTATAAATTAACTAATAACAATAGAGGTGGAGCAATTTCGGATTCTGCTGGAGCATTTAAGGAGCAATTAATTGGTATACAATTTAATTTAAAAAAATAATGTTCTACGTTAACTTCCTTCTGGTTATTTTTTTAAAAATTAATTATAAATTAACTAATAGCAATAGAGGTATAGCAATTTCGGATTCAGCTGGAGCATTTAAAGAGAAAATAATTGGCATACAGTTTATTTTTAAAAACTATATATTTTCTGTTTTATAGCAAAATTAAATTTTCGATACTTACTTTTTTTAAAAATTATTTATAAATTAACTAATAGCAATAGAGGTGGAGCAAATTCGGATTCTGCTAGAACATTAAAGGAGAAAATAATTGGCATACAGTTTAGTTTTAAATCGTAGATATTTTATGTTTTATAGCAAAATTGAATTGTCGATACTTAAATTTTTTTAAATTAATTATAAATTAACTAATTACAATAGAGGTGGAGCAATTTCGGATTCTGCTGGAGCATTTAAGGAGCAATTAATTGGCATACAGTTTAATTTAAAAAAGTAGATATTTTATACTTTATAGCAAAATTAAATTTTTGATACTTAATTTTTTAAAAAATTAATTATAAAATAACTAATAACAATAGAGGTGGAGCAATTTCGGATTCTGCTGGAGCATTTATGGAGCAATTCATTGACACACAGTTTAGTTAAAAAAAAGAATGTTCTACGCTAACTTCCATCTGGTCAAACACTTGTGTGAAAATCGTTTTGTCAATTTTTGTTTTCAATTTTTACTCATAATTCTTGCCATACTGACAATTAAACTTATACTGAAATTCATAATGGCTGTCAATGGGGTAATATCAGTCATCACGCTGGCTATCCTGTAGGGAAAACAGGGGCTACTCAAGGTCATTTGATTATTCCTAATGTTGATATTAGGAGTGTGGGTTCCAGTTTGTCTATACTTCCGTGGTTAAAAGTGTTTATTCCTCATTTGCTTCTCATCCGTAAAAGTTTATTTTTTATGTTGGTAATTTACCAGATGCCGCACACGGTGTGCTTTGCTTTGTAGGTATAGAGATGACCACAGGAGCTATCAAAGTTTTTGAATAAATGCTCACTCGCTCACTGTTGTCGATACTTCTTTTTTATATGGTTCTTATTTTTTAATCTTTTTGGTGAAGAGGGGCTTTCAGAGTCACAATCGCTCATATTATCGATAATTAATCAGAATTAAGCACAGTATATGGAATTATTTCACTCTTAAACCGTAACTTAATTTGATCAGTTAAATCAGAGATGCGCTAGGTCATACTCGACTCGAAGGTTTGTTATAACATACGTATTTATATTTACTTTGCTTTCGAGCAGCATTTAATATTTGTCGGTTTTTCACCACAAAACCATAAAAGTTTTTACATCAAAAATCGAAGTTTGTTAGTACTTGTAACCCTGCTTTTACTAAAGAAATACACATTCGGTTTTTTTTTCCTTGCTCCATGCTTGTTCCATCGTGGTAAATACGAGCTCGCAAGAAGTATTACAAACAGGAATGGAATGAACAAATGTGACCATTTTCACAATTCAGGACAAGGATTTTTGTCTTTAGATTTCGTAAAGAAGTCAACCCAGCGTAAATCTCCTCGATTTTTTTCAACGAGTTGTGGTTGAATCTCACGCAAAAATCCAACCTCATCGTCCAGTTTGTCACATCTAAGGCAATATTTAATAATTCCTGGTATCTAGTAATGCCTGTCCATGTGATTGGTTCCGAATCTTCACCGGACAGGACAGACACCGCTGAATCGACAACATAGACGGCGAGACAAACCGTCTTACACCGCAAAGCGAGTGAGTAGCGACAATTGCGAGCGAAGGATGCGTATAATTATTAGAAAAACCGGAGCAATTATTGCACCCCGGGAGGTCGGGATACTAACCATTATTACCGGAGTCTCCGGGAGGGTTAGGAACCCTAGCGATAGGTAAGGAACGCACGATACGGTACGATAGTTGTAACGACAACTGTATGTTTGCAGTTGGGATTTTCCCCGCTTTGTTCGTTAAAGTAATATCTATGTGCGTTTCCTTTAATTCATAACACTAATGCAAAAACGTATCATTTCACCTTATAGCCAATTGCCGTATTTTATTTATGTTGTTACCGTTACCGTTACAGCTTATTAAAGTCCAAGTCCAATTAAAGGCAATTGCAGTCTTTAATTTATATAACTTTATCTCTCGAAATTCGCAGCATGCAGTTTATATCAAATAACTGATAAATTTTGTGTTTTGCGTTACTGTTCTCAATTTATTCTAGTGTTAATCTAGATAAAACTGTAAATTATTACCAACTCTAAAGAAGCGGTATCGATTTCTCTTAAGACTTGAATATTGTAGGTACCGATTTTTTAGTTGTAATGCCTAGTCCAATACATGTGACAGCCAGCTGTCACCTGTCAAAGGTATTTATTATTATATACGCCAGTATATTCTAAGTCTATGTTATATACAAGGATATATACTATATTTATTATTAATGTAATTATTATTAATGTAACTAGTAAGACTATAAGATTTTTGACTTGAATGCTTGTTCTTTAAGCCGTATGTTCATTTATCTCCTTATCTAGTGATAATAATCCTCACTGCTTCACTATATATCGATGCGTCACATTGCGTAGTTTTTGGGAGATTTTGAAGGCAACTTGAGCCAGCAGACAGTTGCTGATAGTATCTTAAGGCGCCTTAACAAACAATCGATACACTTGTTTTACCGTTTCCCCTAATAGTTCACATGTGCAGACATTTAATACATAAAATCGCATAAATTTTACATATTAAAATACACATCTAACCATTATGCAATAATACAGGAGCAGCAACCCGGCGCCGGTCAATTTTCCGCCAAAACTCCAAAAGGTATTTCCTAGATAAATAAATATGTAACATTTTTTAACTGGCTTTACAGCTCTGGGTTCTAGACTTTCTGAGCCTGAATATGTAGCAAGTAAAATCGGTTCCACAGAGTACTTTTTATATACCTGGTAATCGGTACACTGAAACCAAAAATAATGTAACATTATTTTATATTTTATATATAAATATATTATATTATTTGTACATATAGGAGATAATATTCATTACGCTATCTCTAAAAACTTTCGTAAAATTATTGGCGTTGTCAGGATTTTAGTGTATTCGTTTTCATAGCATTTCATATACTACTGAAGCATCACCTCAGCCAGTACATATTTTTGTTTAGAATTGCCCATATTTAGATATAAATATATATGCAAACTGTATGCTTATTATTGTAGCCTATAAGTTTTCATATATATTTTTTGTTGTAAATAATTTCTGATTTTATTTTTGTTTTTGTACATATTATTGTATTAATTTCATTTACGTAATTTATTTTTTTAATGTTCTTAAATATATGTTCTAAAATTAAACTGTAATCTATACCTACTAATAGATAAAAGAGGGTTGGTCAAATCGTACCAGACGATGAAACGATGGCGTCACTATATGCCATATTTATGTAAAATATCCTTATTTTTTAAGGTCTTAAATAACACAAAAAATACCTCTCTAAGTAGCCACAAAAAAGTTATCCTTTTATTTTTGTTTTTGTAATTGTTCCGAAATTATTTAAAATAATGGTTTCTGAACGCACTGGAGCGTACTTAATGACGATTCATTTCACGTATGAATGGACGTTAATTGTAATTCAATTCAATTAGTATGCAGGCATCAAATCAA